CTCACTCAGTCCATGTGTCTTTTTCAAACAGTCGTCCTGGCTTCTACCCAGCAGAGACCTCTTTAGCTTAATTAGTGTAGAGTCCCCAGGGAGAGAACAACAGGGCAAAATACACTGAATGGAAGAAGGATGTGAAAGGTCTCAGACTGTCAGAAAAAAAACATTGAGGAGAGGAGTTGCTCTCTAATATAAAAAAACATTGACTTTTTTATTTATATTTCTAATTATTTTATCAATGATAATGAATGATTGGTTAAAACAAATCAATATGGTAGAAATATTGGAAAACTGACACACTGCCACATCTATCAGGTCGTCTTTGGGTTCAAAATCAATGCGATGCAACTACAATCCTTCTTTATATACACATATTGTTTGATTCTACATTCATCCCTGATAATTATATCCCACAGCTCTTTTATCCTCCTAACCTACTCTCTTATATTTGCCCCCCCGCCCCGCACTTCAACTCCGCCCTTTACCCAAAGGTCCTTATTGTGTCCCAAAGCCACCCAGGAGCACCTCCACACCGTTATGTCAGCAACATGTACACACCCTGAATATTTGATAGGACACAAACACAACCCTACAACAGAACATCGTGAGGCTTCGTTACATCATCCAAAAAACATCTATCTGTTAAACATCTACATCATTTACACAAATACAAAACCTTGAATTTCCCAACAGGACCAGATGGGGACTCATTTTCAGCCCGGAAGATTTTGTAATTATAGCTTTACTATGAAAGTCTGACTCCGCTGTAATGCACTATTCTCTCTGAAACAACATTGATTTTTTTCCATGCCAACACATGCAGTCTCTATTCTACTGTTGATGATAAAAAAGCATAATAGGTCATGAGCAGTATGTATAAATAGTGGTATATTGAACTAATATATCTGGTCATGTTAGATTGTTCACACGCTGTGGTACAGCTCACCTGTTTCTTCCACAGCAGGGATCCTTCTGGACACATCACTGGGTCCTGACACCACCTCTGACAATTTTTTTAATTGAATTGCGATATTTTCCCTACAAAGCAGTCCAAAAAGTCTCTGTTTCCCAAACTTGGAATACATGCTGAAGTGAAAGGAATTTTCTCCACCATCAGAGTGGGAGGAAACTGTTTCAAAATGGGACTCTAAGATATAAATAATCAACATTGGAGTTATGAAATTAGCATGTGCACATTTGCACTCAGTCACCTCTGTGCACACATACAAATGAACACTTGTGCTCACACACACGCACACACATGCACACACATTCACATGCACTCAGGAGGAATTGCACCATAGTTATACCTGTGGTAAAAGGCGATTCATTTTTTAATGGAGTAAATGTTTTATTCATAGCGCCTATCCAGTCTTGGGTATGGCAGAGGACACTGAAAAGCCTATGCCAGAAAAACTGGCTATTAGCTATTTCATACAGTGGATGGATTGCACATCTCAGTAGCTTTGTACACAGTAACATTTTGGGCTGATATTGTAGCCACATAGATTCCATAAATCGTTTGACAAATAAGTATGCTTTTTTTGTTGTGCTTTGGACTTGGGGAATCTGATAATGTTGTGACAGAGAGTGAAAGACAGACAGAGAAAGGGAAAGGAGGAGGAGAGGGTGTTGCCTCCCGAGTGAGGCCTGTAAGACCGGTTATTCTGTCCTAGAAACCCTTTAACTGTGTCGAGCACTCTGCCTAAACATCCACCCCGCTGTGAGATGAATACTCTGCCCCACGCAAGAGAAATGTTAAGCTAGAGCACATTTAGGACCATCAAACATTCCTCCTTCCTCCTGCTGATTCTTGCCCTCCAGCATATATGATTAAGATTTCACTTGAACACTTTCGTTTGTGGAACAAAATGGAGATTAGAAAGTGAGGAAAGGGAGCGGAGGTCACAGATAGAAACGACAATATATAATAGAAATGCATGAGGCAAGTGTATGGCTGCAGTTTCTGACCTGCACATGTAGTGTTGGACTTATTAAGGATTAAGCCATGCAGGGATACTGCTGCTTTCAGCTTAGTAGAGAACCGCTCAAACAAACAACTCTACACTAAACACTGTGCTTCCTTGAGTCCTGGACAATACACCTGCCATGACTTCGGCCATAAACCCAAGTTGTGTCTATTCAAGTTCAGAAACAGTGGTGAAATACACTCTGGTTCAGTAAGAAACACCCCAACTAAAAGGGCCCCTGACAGCTATAGATTTATTGGGATGTTTAGATATGAAACATCTTGAATTATGCTGCTATTCAAACTTATTGTAACCCAAATTAACTTACAAAAGGCCCCCTAAGCACTTAAAATAAATGCAACTCAACTCTATACTATACTACTTACTGTGTACTTCTACTACATAAGAAAACATTGTTGTACTACAATTGCCTGACAGATAGACTGGTTACATTCCAGATTTAGATTTTACTCACAAAGTATATAATAATTACTATATGATGAATTATTTATTCATGTGATTATCCAGCATTATAAATTGAACGCTTCACCTTAAACAGACGTACATTTAAGTACATTGCCTCTTTCAATCTTCACGTGAAGTAAAAATCGCAGTATTAATAGTTTTCTAGTAACTAGTAAAGTAACCATTTAGATTTCCAATATACGGTCAGTTTATCCAAATAGCGTCTGTCTGGAATCGTTATCGGATAAGGGAGATGAGCTACAGGTACCCTGAGACCGGCATCGTCGCTTTGCATACTTTAGTGAACTCGTGGTGTAAACAGTCTGCTGGTAAAATCGTACTGAACACTAATTAACTATATTAGTATGCGATTTCAAACACAACCAAGGGACTCACAGTCAGCCGGGCTCGAGTAATTTTGCTGGCGGTAAATTTATTAGTGTTATAAATTAATATAAGAAAAACATACAATTTGACTTAAAATGGCAGAGTGGTGCTGTTCCTGTTATCAGCTTGTATTGAAAGTGTTGCATGTCAAAAATGCGCCAAATTCAACAAGGCACTCCCTTGGGTCCCCAGCAATACACCCACCAAGTATGAAGTAGATCAGATGAACGTTTCTCGAGATATGTGAAGAACACACAGACAGACAGACAGACAGACAGAGATTACTTGATGGGCTAATTATGTTAATCGAGGACAAAAAAGGACAGAATATTTTGCACTCTAAAATCACTATTTTCTGAAGCAGGACATCAATGTCATGTGCCTCACACTACAATTAAAAGGAACTGGAAAATAAAATGACACAACGTGAGCTTGAGAGATTTTTCTGGAAGTCATTTGAGCTGCTCCTCAATTCTAAAATGTAATCCAACCCCAATAAAAAAACGTTTGGTTGTGGACACCTTTTCAAAAGTTTAAATGTGTTGCCGTGGGTAAGATGATGGTCTCGGTGAACAGTAAAAGTAGGGAGAGTTTGACATTTCTCTTCTCTTTTAGGTACATGGAGAGCTTGCATTTAATCATTTTTACCATCAAATTATAACAAAATAATTGACTCAAATTCACTTATGAGACTTCCAAATGATATCGCATGTGAGGGTATTTGCACAGTTTGCAAGCTTAATGTGAATAGTGTTACTATTACATTGCATTACAGTCATTTAGCAGACGCTTTTATCCAAAGCGACTTACAATAAGTGAAGTGTTACTATCAGACATCTGTAATCTATTTCTTTAATCGGATTACTTTAAGCTGGTCACTGCCTAACCCTGCCAATACCTGCCATCGCCCACCTCCCAGCGCCTGTCCATCCTTTCTGTACACACTTAATAATGCACACAACACTACGGATTCCCTAATTTATCGCTCTCTCCCAGCTGGACTTGAAATGACAGATTTATTAGATAGCCATTTGCTGCTGCGTGTAACACTGCCAGTTGAGGGTCAGCGAGGCTGACAGAGTCAAAGCTGTTTGATGACCTCGAGGTGATAATGACCGTACAGGAGAGAAGGACACAGAGGACGACAGAGAGGGAGAAAAAGAGACATGGGGAATGGTGTGGGCGGGTGATGAGGGAAAAAAGGGCTGGATGGCCAGACATCTGGCCGAGTAGAGAAAAGCAGACACATGGGTTGTGGGCTAGCATCGTGTGATAGACTGTACAGAAACAGCACAAACTGGAGGAGATTAAGATTAACGCTGTTATATCAGATAGAATACTGTGCGTGCGGGGAAGAGTTGAAATGGGTTTCATTTTTAAATACAAGAAGTCCTTCAAGCCAATGCAATCCAGTAAAATAGTCGTGCCACAACATCTATCTTTGCAAGGTCATATGTCCAGTTTGTGTAGACATTGTTCAAAATGTGTAAATTAAAATATGTTTGTATTGAGGTGATGGTTAAAGGTGGTGTTGTAGCTTTGTGTTGACTACATTATATTGACGGGTGTTTTGAATCCTTTGTCCTTCACATTTCCTGACATGAAAGAGGCAGAATATCAGAAACACCTCTGAATATAATTTAGGCCAGCACATAACCAACACTACCTATGACCTCAATGCTAAAAACAATATAATTATATTGCAACTTGAGACTTTCCACAAAAAAACTGAACATCACAGCTACTGAAATGTATCATGCATTCCTGTTTCATTTCCACATGTACAATGAAGGAGCATGAGATCAAAAAGCTTGGCCCAAGGATACTCTTTCTTTAAGGCAATGCCATGCTTTCAGAGGGGGGGTTGGGTATCTCGGTTTTCTCAAGACCTGAAGACCTGATACCGACTAGCTACATCTTGAAAGGGCCGTGCTGGGAGGATTTTCTTTCCTCTCTCTTTAAAAAAAAAAATCATATCTGACCTCAGTGGGCAGTACTTATGGATGGCATGGCTGTATTATTGGTGCATGGCCTTTTAATATTGTAGAAACTAGGCGAGGCTGCCGGTCGTCCGGCCAATCAGATACCGAGGTGTGGTCATCGGAAGGCGTGGTCACGGGGGAAAGGGTGGCGCTAAAAGCGGAAGTGTGTCTCGGCTGATTTCTCGCTGACAGTCGCTGTCATTCGGCCACGGTCGGTTTCAAGAGAGAGAGAGAGAGAGAGAGAGAGACAGAGAGACAGAGAGACAGCCAAAGGAAGCACACAAGGAATCGGGCTGGCTCTGTAGGAAAAAGACAGTTAACGAGAAAATATCCCGAAAATCAAGCAAACAATGAAACCGATCGAATAAGGCTTGTGAAAGAACCGCGGCCGATTATATTTCAGTCATTGCCACGTGAACAAAGCTCGTTGATTACACAGATTAGAGGCAGCAGATAGAGAGCTGTGTCATTGAGCAGGCAGGACACGTCAGGAGAAAAAAAAAAAAAAGCTGACCGACTGCACTGTACGAGTCAGCTATCACATCTGAAAAGATTTGCCCGTCGCACTCTTTTATTTTTCAAGGACACCGCTTTGCTTTCGAACCGAGGAAAGGATCTCGACAAAGACATCGCCGAGGTCGAAGGTGGTGATCAGAAGGTGAAAAGACATTTTGTTCTCCCGTATTCAGCCTGTCCGGCTAGCTATAGCACCTAGCCTACCTAGCCTGCTAGCTAGCTAGCTAGCTAACGGTAGCAACGGATGGAAATTAGCTGGCTAGCTTAACATGTCTAGTTTATTTAAACCGCTCGGCTGCTACTTGACGTGTACAAATGTAATAACGCGCGATAACGTGTGACATTATTTATTGTGCGACTTTTATCTGGTACATTTTGAGGTTGGACTCCACGGACTGGTGACAGCTGTCAAACAAGGTCGAGTGTTTTTTTTCCTCTGACCATTAAGACGGTTTATTGTTAATATTATCAACATTCATTTTTATTGTGCACAGCGGTGATCTCTCTAAGGTTACACTGCGGGTACTTGATTGTTCGTCAGTTGGTTTGTGCTGAGAAAAACGTCTGTAAATGGAGATTGTGTCGGCTCGACACAGCGGCGTTGCAGCTAGATATATTGTAGGCTGCCAGCAGCTCAGCTGAAGATTTACAAGCTGGCAACGTCACGGGGTTATAATTAGCTAAAGATGTAACGTTAACCGGTTGGCTTTTTTAAAAACTGCTCAGCGTAATAATAAGGGTAACGGATTGTTCAGTACAAGAATTAGCTCATTCATGACAGTGGTGTATGATTATCATATGTCTAGAAATTCTCTGAGGGAGTAAAACAGACCTAATAGAAAGACAAAATGTCTTTAATGTCACAATAAATTGTCTATGACCGTCACCCAGTTGTTTGTAAATCCCTTGATGTGTAGTAGAATGAGAGAGGCCGACTGCTAACTCAGTGCATGCCATCCTGTGTGCTCTTCTCTCAATAGGACAAACGATCACGGGATAGCTTTTGTGTGTGGGGGGAGAAAACAAATGGGGGATTACGGGTTTGGAGTCCTAGTTCAAAACAACACTGGCAACAAGTCTGCATTCCCGGTTCGAATCCACCCGCATCTGCAGCCCCCACACCACCACCAAAATGTGTCGCAGAGCCCTGCTGCTTTCATAAACAGCACCACAGCCGCAGGGAATGGCACCACGGGAGGCTCTCCGTGGCTCTTTCCTGCCTCAGCCACCCACAGCAGCGTGCAAGACGAAATCCTGGGGGGCCCAGAGAAGCCCAAAGCACAGCAGCAACAGGAAATGCAAGAAACGCAAGAAAAGCAGCAGCAGCAGCAGTTGTCCCCTGGGAGTCACCAGGAGGGTGGTGGTGGAATCATTTCAGAACTGGAAAAAGCCCGGTCAGATGAAGCCAAGACGGACAACGGCACGTCTGAAGGAAGTAACGGAAAGGAGAAGCAGTTGCGTCTCGAGTCTCCTGTCTTGACGGGCTTTGATTACCAGGAGACGTCTGGTCTCGGGGGAACTGGCCCGGTCCAGTCCAGTACAACCTCGTCATCGCTCACTGGCTTCAACAACTGGTCAGCTGCTATCCCGCCGGCGCCGTCAACCATCATCAATGAGGACGTTAGCTTCTTCAACCCGGCTTCTGCCAACAACGGGCCCCTGCTGTTCCAGAACTTCTCACACCACGTCAGCCCCGGGTTTGGCGGGAACTTCTCTCCCCAGATTGGACCAGCGGCGGCCTTGTCCCAGCACCACCCGGCTCCCCCGCCACACCCTCACTTCCAACACCCCCACAACCAACACCAGCAGCATCGGCGCTCCCCGGCCTCTCCACACCCTCCACCGCCCTTTCCGCACAGGAATCCGGCGTTCAGCCAGTTGCCGCATTTGTCCAACAGCCTGAACAAGCCCCCGTCCCCTTGGGGTCCGGCCAGTTACCAGAGCCCCTCTCCCTCCCCCGGCTCCTCTACCTCCTGGAGTCCTGGAGGAGGCTATGGGAGTGGTAGCGGCGGCTGGGGAGGGTCTCAGGGCAGAGACTATCGCCGAGGGCTGAACGGCGGGATGACCCCCATCAACTCCATCTCTCCTCTGAAGAAGACCTTTCCCAACAACCATGTGGCGTCCCAGAAGTACCCTCGAAACAGTCCCGCAGGCTTCAACCCCAAGTCCTGGATGGATGATGGAGTCGGCCGCAGTGATAACATCTTCCCCTTTCAGGTCAGTTTTCCTGCGATAGTCTCATTGTATGATTCAGCAATAATTCTGGCATACTCTTACGTTTAACCTAAGCATGTGTGTGAGCACTTTGTGTGTTCATGCTTTGTTGTGTGTGCGCTACATGAATGATTTAAACATCAATGTGAAATTTATGTTGGCTGTTGATTTTAGTACAGTTTTTTTGTTTCTATTTTTAGACATGGGGGGTGGGTATGAATTTACACGATGCATTTGTTACCGTGTTGGCTTAGAAATCAGTCGTTGGGCTCTGCACTTCCACAGCTGTATGTCTCTGATGACTAATGTGGCTCTGTCACTGCAGTGGTGTGCGCCACGTATACGAGCTGGGGGGTTAGAGTGAGGAGTGGGGGAGGCATCGTGGATATAGAGAAAAAGATGGGGAGAGGCAGGTTAAAAAAAAATATGGGGAAAGCAGGCCGGCTGCGAAGAAAACAATCGCAGCAATGGAGGACCAAGAACGACTGAGATGTAAAGAATAATCTAGATCCACCAGTGAACAAGAAGACATCATCGTGGAATTTATTTTACTTCGGCCTAAAGCAAAAAAGAAAAAAAAAAAACACCCAACAATACTGTGGATTTATGGCCCGGGCATAATGGCCAATGATTTTTCAGGATTGCCAATTATTAATCACCCAGATCGTGGCTGCCATAGCCTAGCAACTCGTTTTCAAAATGCCAGCCTATTCATAGTGTAATCCTGATAGCCGGGTCCACTCACAATGAAGACGGCTTGAATAATCGTACAATCGCATGGAGAAAACGAGACGATAGGATTGATGGAAACAGGTAAAGGGAGCATGGAGGTAAATTCATTTTATTGATCCAGCTCATGATTGATTGAGGAGGCGGGGGTGAAGAGAGGAAGGTTGCATCAGCGCCAGCTTGGCCAAGTGACCCGATGAAAGGCTTCTTTAAGCCGTTAAGTTTACGCCATAATCTCCATTTTCATTCAGACATTTTATTCAGGTATTAACTCTAAAATCTTACAATCAAATTATCTAATTTTCCAATTTAGAAAGTGATGCTTGCTGTGACCTTTCAATGCATTTCATTATCCCTACTTGCAATTAATGACTCACAGTGCAGCACAGGTCAAACGGTAAGGATGTTGTGTGGACATGTCTTGACATGTATTTTTGCTGAAGAGGCAGCAAGGCTTACTTCTTAGGTGCAATGTACCATTAGCTAACAGCCCGATCGCTGTTCTAAAACATCCTAATCCCCGTCAATATTATGGAGTCATGTGTTGGTAAAATGTACTCTTACGAGCAGCACATTTTAATGAGAAGTCACAATGTTCGCCGGGTAGATGCTACATAAAAAGGCTATGCAATTAGCATCAAAGCAATCAGAATTGTGGAAGAATTGATAATCGGTCTAGATTACAAAAAAAGCTATGAAGATTGCTTTTATTGAATGAAGATGTAAGTTGACACTTAACCTTTAAACTGTTGGACTTGTAATTGAAAGGATTGAGGTGATGTAAAGATATTTTGAGAGGCGATGGACGAGTTCTCTGACTCACAGCAGAGATATTTGCTGCAACAACGAGCATTGTTTCTCTCTGGGACGGGCTCGTAAAATAATATTTTAAGCATATCAAATTGGGTCTATATTTAATGTGTTTCTTTCTAAACCATAGACTGATGGTATCGTTCCACCCCCTGTAATATAACTGGAAAATGTGTAATTTTGGTGTAAGCAAATGGATAATGTTGCATCATTGAAGTTGTCACGATAGAAACTGCTGTTAAATTATTTCACAGGCAAGTGTCAAGTTATTCGCCAGAAGCCACCTCAGTGTAGTTAGTCTTTAGGATCTGAATAAAATAAGGGCCATTTCATTCCCATTCACTCCCATTTCATTGCATTTGCTGATTGGAATAGCCAAACCTGTACCCAAAATGGTTCTTGTCAGGGCTTGTCAAGATCATGCACTGTTTAGAGGACTGATGACACATGTTGCCTTACACAAGGCACCCCCGGGTTTGGTAATGAAATACTGTAGCTCCTAAACAGACCCCATGAGGAACTGTTGTCACACTGTTTCACAGTAAGTCCTCTCCAACTGTCTCCATTTGAGCACCGACACAACAGATGAAGGATGAGTCGCTTTTACTTTACAAGTCCCATTTGTTTTTCAGCCTGTGTACGATCAAAGTGAGTTCATCATAGTGTCGGTGTCTTTGTACACTGTGGGATCAGATGTAGTTATAACTACGTTGCTCTACAGAGACCACGCAGATCACACATTAAAATGGCAATTTGGAGCGGCTGAGGTATGTTACAACAGCTATCTGCTAAAGCAAAAAGAAAAATCCCTCTCCCTGTGTCCACTTTTACAGAGTGTGGCATTTTCTTCTGGTTGCCTTTCGGCCTCCACATTAATTTGTGTCTGTATCAGGAAACGTGTAGATGCAATTTGTGAGCAAGGCCATATTTTATCAAAAGTGTTGTACAGCACCGTGGCACACACACAAAGAGAGAGAGAGAGAGAAAATGTTCCAGTGCTGTGGCTGCAGCAGGCAGGGCCTCTGCTGTATTAGAGCAGCTTTAGTATTTGGGATGGGCTCCAGACCAGGCACGCTGCTGCTAACTGCTAATACACTGGTCAGCTAGTAACTAGCCTCAGGCCAGAAATTACTGTGTTTTTAAATGCCAGGCAAGCTGTCCTTGCTTTGCTTTTTATTCTCTTGCTTTTCTATCCATCATCCGTCCGTCCTTCAATCCATCAGCTATTCCTGCTTATCCTTGAGGATCGCAGGGGGGGGGGGACTGAATCCAATCCAACCTGACATTGAGCAGGAGTCAGGGTACACTATGGACAAGTCACCACTCAATCAAAGAGACATGCTCATACTCACAACGTCAGGCAATTTTAGAGTCTCCAATTAACCGAACCTCTTTGGATTGTCGGAGGAAAGCGGAGCACCTGGAGAAATTCCACGGGGCTCTTCTCCCTTTCCTCGCTCCCTAATTCCTCACCTGTGAAATTCAAGGTCAGAGGATCTCTGCTGTGTCAGGTGTACTGGCCTCATTCAGACTGGTAAATTTGGCCTGGGACCAGATCAAGACCTGCAGCGCCTGAAGGCGAGTAAGCCAGGACAGGATATTGTCTCGGTAAGCTACCAGGGTAACTGCTGGTTACAGCCTCCTCCTCCTCACTGTTTGTGCAGCTTAGATACACTGCAGCCGTATACCGTGCTGTTATATGAAGGCTCATTATTAAACTACCTCTTCGGGCCTGCAGTGGAAGCAAACCTGTTGTCTGACTTGAGGATTCTGCCTCCTTTTTAACCTCTGATTTGTTTGAAAGGCAATCTAATCAATACGGCAGGTCTCTTTAGGCAAGTATCACAAATCGTCCTATTCACGTGTGCATGCAAGTTCTCTTGCAAGCATGTCTATAAATTCATTCTCAGAGCCATCAATCTGTAGAGGTTTCCGCCATTACCTCTGGTCTTTTTTTACGACTTATGAGAGAAATGTTTTTTTAGACTAATGAGCGGCCTGAGCTGTGCTGGCAAACACCTAACTCTGCTGCTCATACAGCCTCATTGTGCCCTCCTCACACCCTAGACAGACGCTCTGAAACAAGAAGAAAGAGAGCTTGTGTGTGTGTGTGTGAGCGTGTTTGAGCGAGCGTGCGTGTGCCCATGAGTGCACAAGCCCTAATTAGTCCCTGGCCTCTGTCTTCTGCACATGTGTCTTAACAAAGGAAGACGACAAAGCAGAGTCGGTGCAAAGGTGTCATATTGTATTTAGCGTAGCCCTGAAGCTTATAGCATGCAATAAAGTAGAGTCAGTGCAAAGCCTGCTGGAACCCTTACCTCCGTCACCCCGTTGCAACCCAGATGCACTCGCACGCCATTCAGCCAGCACTGGGTGATAGTTTGTTTTTGACATTTCGGGGTATTTAATGTCACAGCGGGCCTTTGAAATACTTTGACCAGGAAGGAACCTAATCGAAAGCACAACCCGCTTCCCTTTCCTGCCCTCCTTTCTTCTCTTTACTTTGCCTTACCTCACTTTCTCTCTCACTCTCCGTCATCCCCTTTCTTTCATCTGCCATTTTCCCCTTCCCGTCTTTGCCTTTGGCTTCCTCTCTCTCCCTGTTGTCTCGGGGATGTGATTTAGATGGAAAAAAAATACGGGGGAAAAACATCAGCCTTCCTATAAATGAATGTGAGGTTAATGTGGAATATTGTACGCCTTTTGAAAACTTAACAATCATAATGCACCTATATATTCATGTCCTTTACTTTTTCCACTCTTCCACCCTCCCTCCCTCAACTCCCATGTTTCATTAACAGGCAGGCGACATGGAAGATTAATGTTGGAGTTAATCACCCACAGCTTGCTGTTTTTAATCATTCTTAACTTCCCTGTGTGTCATCAGAATCTGTTGGCGGTTGCCCCCTCTCTGTTTTGTGGTGCTTAAGAGTAAAACCCAGTCTAGAGTTGACTGACAGGCTTTCTGATCCATTTTGTCATTTGAACCTTTTTTCACTTTATAGTTACAAATGCAGCTTTAAAATGTTTTCATTACGTGAGTTTTTACGTAGGTTTTGAACAGATACCCAATACTGTAATCTATCCTTAATGTGTGTGACAGCTGTTGGATGTGACGAGGGGCATGTGATGCAAGCAACAAGCCGGGCCACAGTTGTGGCTGGTCTGGGTACAAATTGTGAAGCGCATTGTCCGTCCTTTTCCACATTGAATCAACAAAACAAAAAAGATTTCTCGATTGATCGCTGAATCGTTCAGAACAAAGTAAAAATGGTCACAACAATTTCCTAGAGCCCATGTTCGTGTCATCCTATTGTCGTTGTTTTGTCGGACCAGCAGTTGAGAACCCCCAAGACCATTCGGTTTAAAATGATACGAGGACAAAGAACTTCAGCCAGTCACGCTGGGGATCCATCAAATGTTCGTCATTTTTGCTTGAAAAGGCCTTAGACGATAAATCGATTATCAAAACATTTGCTCAACCAACCGATTAATCGACCAAAGGTTGCAGCTCTAGCATTCTTCTGAATTCAGGTAGCATTGGCTAAATGGTATTTTCCCAAATGATCACAGTACTATTTTGTCAGTTTCAGATGAGCTGTTTATATGACAACACATATTTGCAAGATTTGTTGATCCATATCTACTTTCAGGGCTTAGTAGATGCACTTTGATTTACCGTGTAATGCAAATCGATCCACCACGCAGGTTTTTATTGACGGCCACTGTAAAAAAGGGGCGTGTCTCGCCGTATTAATCCATTTAGCTTTAACTAGATTGGGTCGTGGTTATTATATGTATACTGGGCTACATCTCACTGTTCTTTGCTAATAACAAACTATGTACTGCCATATCCTATACATCTACATCCATGAATTAGCTTTCATAGACGCATATAATGCACTTTAAATTCTGTGTGTCTTGCAGCTAATCTGTTTGTGTGACTGTGTGTATTTATAGAGAGAGAGAGAGAGAGAGTTCAATTTTGTGAAGCTGTTAAAACACTAAAGCAGGAAGTTGTCGTAGTGCATCACAGAAAGACCAGAACCTCTGGAAAGGATCCCACAAATAGTCTTGGGTAATGTGTTTACGTGCTTGCCTCAGCTATATACTCACTAGTGGTGTGTACTTGCCACAGTAACCTCTCGTTTCTGCTTCCCGTGTCTTTTGAATGTTTGGTTTATTTAACCTTAACCAATACCCTAAGTCCACATAAGATACTGAGGCGGATATGAGAAAATAGTGGCCCTAGTCTGGCCTATATCCCTGTGTTGATATTTGTTTTGACGGAGAGAGTGTGCACTGGGTGTGTTCTTCCTACCATGTCATCTCTGTGTTTCGTATGTTCCCTCAGTCAGTGTGGGTAATCGGCACCAGCCAAAAATGCTGGTAAAACTTTTGGCTACAGCTTGGGGGAGTTTTTGGCCGTTTCATCAGCCAGTGTGTGCCAGGCATCCAACCACGCTCTCAGATCAGATAGTGAAAGCAGCCATTCGATTTTAGGAGCCACTACCCAGACGGTAGATGAGAAAAATGAGCGGCCTGCCGGCCCCGAGCGTTGGTCATGTGGTTCACTGACGCAGGTCTGTTTTTCTGAACCCGTTAGCATTTGACCCCCGTGGAGTTTGTGGTGTAACAAAGTTATATGAGGCTTTCTCCTCAAGGTGGTTTTGCTTTCGGATCGTTCTCCTCAGACATTGGTCTGTTTGTAGCGAGGGTGCTACCTGGTCGCTGTACAAACGAGTTCATAACCAAGAGGTTGTGCTTGGATGCATTTGTCGGACAGACAACGTGGTGAATAAAGAGTGATTGACTATATAGATGGGTTACCTGCAGGTTGACAGACAGGTTGGGTAATTCTTGTTGTGCAAGGCTTGTCTATTATCAGTCATGATGAGGGTAGAGATGATTAAACTGCGATGAGGGTCGAGGATGTTGTAGTTTTATTTTGACGTCTTTATAGGCCACTATTAATAAACAGGCTTTCATGCAATGTTAAGCTTTATTCACACTTTAATGTAATCTTTTTAACATCAGCTCATAGTTGTCTGTTTTCACTCGCTGTTAGCTTGAGACGGATGTGATTTGAAGTCGGCCGGCCGTACAATAGAGCTCAATCAGACTTTAAAGTAAACTGTTGCTACACCTGCTTATTATTCTCAACGGGAGAACAATGGTGGCTGTTCTGGAAATGTTGAATTTCTCTTAAACTATGCACCAAATAATTTTTTTTGTTAAGCGTAGAACAAATAGCAATGCGATTGCAGTGTTATTATTAATAACACTTTACTCTTCACATGTTTTGTGAGTTTCAAGAGGCCGTGATGCGATCTTCTAAAACCTCACAGGTCCATGATTTGTCTGTCAGCATCGATCATCTCTTCGTATGTTTCCCAGACTTGTATCTTGTGGCACAAACTGACTTCAAAAGATGTATTGTGGCATTGCTATTTTACAAGCATACGTCTTTTAAGTCAAACAGGCTCTCCTCCTCCCTGTCCCTGTGTTAAATATTTTACTTTAGTGTTAATTTGTCCTTTGTTTGTCCCAAATACCGCATATTCATCACTGTTTTCACGAAATGCTAACCTCCGCTAATGCTACCTCTGCAAATGTTTGAATAATGGTTTCTACAATTAATATTATTTAAGTGTTTCATTATGTTTTTTTCACAGCTGTACTTTAAAATAACCGATATGATGCAGAAAGGAAAAAAGTGTATTTCTGTCGTGACCAGACAGTAAAGAAAAACACACAATCCTGACTAAACATTTTAGTCACGATGCGCAGCTTATTGAACAACAACTTGTACCCAGAAGAGTCATTGGCTCTGTGCAGTGTGAGATCTCTGACGCATAAATGAGGAATATAAATCTTTTTTTAAGGTATTTCTGCTTTTACGGTAACATTGAAGAACGGCTGGAAAAATGAGGAAAAGACGGAGGAAGAAATGAGACAATCGATCACACGATGTTATGGGGACATTTAGCACCAACTATAAATGTAAATAAGGAGGGTACGAATTTAGTTCTGTGGTCCTCGGCGCCAGTGTCTGCCTGAATTGTGGTTTTGTACAGAAGGAAGACAAAATAGTTTCAGTATTTGTTAACAAGTTGTTGTCAAATGCTGCATATTTTGTGGTGAGGTGGAGTCAAAACAGAAATCTTATCAGCATGGCACTGGAGGGTGTGTGTGTGTGGGCCCATGTTGTGTATACACATATTACAGTTGTGTGTGCTTACACATATTTCTGTGTGCATACAAACATTTCCAGTATGGTTGATATGCCAAGGATGCCCTTGTTTGTGGGTGACGACGCCGTCGCTCAAGAATTCCTCCGCTCCTGCTTCGTTCTGCTGATGTTTGTACTGTTGACTTCCCTTATGCTGCCGAGGTGAATGAGTACGTTTATAGCTCAGTCACTTAAGTTTTCAAGTAACAGCAGTTAAACGCACAATAACTATGTGAAGAGGGGAATTTAAAAAAAAGATACAATTCAAACTCACTAAACAACAAGACAAAGACTAAATGAATGCTGACAACATAAAGAAAGGAGTGTCTCCTAATAAACCTTGTGTCACTCAAGTGGTTTCACACACCTGTGCCGTAGACATGGGCACTCCGGTTTGCTGTCTTGCAAACCAACATTGGGGAATATTCAAGCAGAAAAAAGTTTATCCAACTTATTTTTATCCCAGATTTTACGTCAGTTGGCAGAATATATTAGTGAATCACTTGAGATTCCACTTCTAAGTTGTTTTGTTCGTCACTCCCGCTATTTATGCCAGAATTATAAAATGAATATCTGAATTAAATTGTATTCAAAGCAAGGTATACAAATAAATGGTGTTTCTCCTCTTTCTCTCCTCTCTTTAGGAACGCACCCGGTCATTCGACAGCTTCAACATGAACACGCTGGAGAGCTCCCTCATCGACATCATGAGGGCTGAGCAGGACACCCTGAAAGGTACAGACGTCAACCAGGAACATTAAACACTAAGCAGACTACCACTAGTAATGCTGCAGTTCTCATTTTACTCTGTTAACAGCAGAGACATAGTGCATAGAAGCTATCATATCATATGTTGTGGACAAAACATTCTTTGGATTTCATTCACTATGATCCATATACAATATGTGACTTGTCTAAAGACATACGAGTGTATTTTACTCTACTAACGGTGTATCAATTGAAAGCTCCAAAATGATGATTAAGCCTCCAAAAATATTGTCAATAGATTACAGAGTACGGGGTCAGATATTAAGTCTCAATATTAATGAATGCACACAGACGGATTCACAAAAATTCAGCGCACACAAAATAGTCGTCATTTTATATGCAACTGGATTGAAGGTTACAGCTACAATGTTGAAGGAAAAGGCCGTCTTCAGTCAAACCAATGTGTGGCTACGCTAACGTTGGCCAATGTTCTCTAGCGCCGGAGAGAGGGCGATGACTGACTGTGGCAGACGAGTGACACAGCAGTGAGAAGCCCGGGAAAGCGTTGACACACTTCGCTCAACTGTCGTATTACTAATAAACTGATGAAGGCATGTTCATGTTTTACTGTCTAAATGTCCACACAGTTAAGTTCACACATGACCAGCCGTTTGTAAACGGAGGTTTATATAAATACAGTTTCTATATACATGTAACCACTTTAAATTTAAATCCTTTTAAATCCAAATATTTTGTGGATTTTTATTACATTCATTTAAAGCAAGAAATATTGTGTGTGTGCATCAGAAATATATTTGTGAATCCTTCCTCATTAATATTGAGTGTTATGGCAAAATACATACTAATAAAATGAAATTGACCCTACTCTTTCATAAATGAACATCAAACATATGTGAAGATAAAAAGAAATGTGTAATGATTTAATTACTTCGGCCAAACATTCGGTAGGATGGTTTCACTTCAAGCGCTCGCACACTTATTCACAATCTAACACCAATTCTTCACAGAAAAGTTTCACTTCCTCCACAGATCACATGTCTAGACCGAGTGTTGTCTTTTAGTGTTGTGATCAACAATAGAAAGGGAGGTCAACTCACACCCCTGTCTTCCTTTTCTCTCCTTCCCACACTGAATTTAAGTTTTCTCACTTTTTGATCAAATTCAATGCAACGAGTCTGACCTCTTTTTCTCATGCATTTTGAGAAGGAGCCGCAGAGACACTCCCGGGCCGATGGAAGCTTAGGCTTTGTACTTAAGACGGGATTTGTGAGCGAGATGGAAAGACTCCCACTGATCTCAACTGAAGTTGTTTGCTATCGTTAGTTTCTAATGATCACGGCTGCAAAGCCTCCCATTTTGAAGGATGATAAAAAAACAAATTCATAACACAATGACGCACAGTTGTTTCTATCCAAAAGGTCTGGCACACAGTAGATACAGATGCATGTTGCCGTTACCTGTAGTGTGAAGTTCGGTGGTTGTTTATCTATTAACACGTCAAATCACAATTCATATATTTTCCACATATTGCCAGTAACAAAAGTGTGAAAAGGAAACATTTGTTTGCTTGTTGGCAAAAGAGATGTTTCATTTCTGGGTCTGTGTAAATCCCTTTATTAGTCTAATGCAACAGCTCTGCAATCAGTCCTACCTTAATGAATTTATAATGATCAGCTATAATATTCAGTTATTGTTTTAGAGACATGGGGATTCAACTTTGGGATCGTTTTGGAGGCTGTTTGTTTAGCTGTTGCACTGTATTACGTTACACTGAGATGTGGTCGTTATTTACAGGAACACATCTTTATTGATATGAATTAGGTTGACAAAATAACAAAAATAGGTACACCTTATTAAAACTAGTAGGTTAATAAACTGAATATAAATTACAAAGTAGGCGCTAACACTTCTATTCTTCTCATCTATTGGAAATTGGACTCTTAACTATTTTGGATTATTGATTAATGGAGACAAGTATGTTATTGGCTGAATGTTGTGAGGCAACGTTGGCCAATGGTAACCCAGAAATGGGTTATTGAATACGGCAGGTCGACGGTGGTGTTTATTGTTTTAGAGCAGTCATTCCCAGAAACTTGGTCTGGACCCAAAGGTAGGTTGCCAAATACACTTGCAGACTTTCTTTTATAGTCTTTTTTTTTTTTTTTTTTTTTAAATTGAGCATTCATATTTTCTGTATACCTTGCCACATGAGGGAGCCTGAATGCAGCCTGCTTATAACATTGGAGCTAAAATGGAGGACTAAGGCACATTCTGTTTGTCAAACGGATGAGAGGAAGAGAATGAGGGAGCCTGTTCACGTTGCTGAGAGGGAGCAGCCCGTAGGACTAGTTCTGGTAATGACTGATTGAAAGGAATCACCTTTTTTACAACCTTTAGTGGAATTTAAGGGATTTGGGTTTAGAGTTTAAGTTGTTAGCAACATTTCTTCTGTTGTTTATCAAACCATAAGGCTTAACCAATGACTACTGTACATGTATTTGTTTGTACAAAGGAACGGTTGACTATGTCAAGCTGTTGAACATTTTAAATGTTGTTGTGCAGAAAATGAAAATAGTAAGTGCATTACTCCTCGTACCTGTTCTAATCATATTTAATGCATATAATCCCATTTAATGTTCTTCAAAGAAAGTAAAACACACACACCAGTTTCACGACCAGAAGAACAAGATGAGTGAACACTCATGAGCTCCAGACACTTCACGATCACCTTGTATTTATTTCAGCCTCACACCCACTGGGCTCAGCCACATCCAGCTGTGATCTAATGTCCTGCTGTCAAACCTTAGTAAATCTTCTCTCCGTATTAATAGTGGAGGACTGGAAGGTTACCTCATTATAGCCGTGCTCTGGTGTCTTAGCTCCAGCCACGCTGGCACAGATTCCTGCGACTAGATTAGATCCGAGAGCTTGGCAACGACAAGTTTTCTTCTAAATTGAAAACCCACACGCTTCTGCTTCATTAGGAGTTGAACCATGAAGGGTTCTTAAATGATGAGGTATTGTTGACCTGACTTCCTGTAACAGTTTATTGTGATTGCTTTTGTCCATTTGTGTCGCAGCTCTGTTTCTTTGTTTAGGAAAAACAGACTTGTTTGTATGTTTTATATTTGTTATATAGCGAATGAATCCTCCATCTTGACAATTCATTTTATGCTTTGTCCAAGATACTGTATCCTTCTACCCTCTTAATGCCCTCGGCGCCCCATTCTTTGCTTTCACAAGATGCATCACGACATATCTCACCCCATACTCCTTATTGTTTTTTGTCTTGTAGCCTTTGGCCTGCTACATGCATGTTTATTCCTCCTTTTCATAATTATAGTCCGAGCTTGTACACTGCTGTGCCAAGTGTAGCAGTGGTTTTAGTGAGTCCTTCCCTTTCTCCTTGCAGCAAAGTAGAAAAGAAACATAATTACAGCGCATTTTCTTTAGCACGGACTCTTCTCCAGATTAAATGCCCCTTGCATCCTCCTCCTGCTCGCTGTCACGCGCATACAAGCATGCACACACTCGAGTATAATAATCTGAGATCGCATGCATTACACAAGCACACTTGGATGCAGAAATCTGTCATTCCAGCAGAACATATTAAACAAAGTGAACGCGATGAAGCGCGGGAGGAGGCGAGACAAAATGTCTACAGTAGAAGTGGCTTTGAATCGTTTCCAACATTGTCCTGACGAACAGAAAGGATCCCTCTGTTCAGCCAACGCACACACACACACACACACACACACACACACACACACACCACCGTGTTGTGTGTGTGCTTGCATGCATGTGTTTCAACTGTTACTGCACTGTACATGTACGCAGCCAGCCGGTTCACAGAGCGGCCACAGAGAACGCCGCAGACACACCGGGGATGTGGTGTGCTTGCTTACGTGTCGGCGCACATGCTCCTCAGAGACTATTAAAGGCTCTTAATAAACGCCCAATATGACGGGTTTGGCTCAGATGGACTTTGATTTTGGGCGGTGCACCTATCAGCACACGTATATTACTGAGCTAAATTACAGAGAGAGATAAACTGTCGAAATGTGCCACGCAGTCGAGAGGAATTGAGCTTGTCTGCGTGATCTGATTTTGGTTGGCACTTGTAATTTGTAGTTTGATTAAACTGAGCGTTTGGTAGAAAGTTATTTGTGTTTTGATGCTCATAATGTCATGAGTATGATGAATGTATGGAAAGCAGTAGTGTAGTGCTCAGCCTTGAGCCACGGGTGGTCCGTCCTGGTTTCTGTGGTCTAGTTCTAGTTGTTTGCACCACATCTACTGTGGGACTCAATAAGCGAGGTGTGGGGGAGGGGCCAGCAGCTTTCCATGTGGCATCGGAATGCACCAATCACAGGGTGGTTCGTACCCGTACAACAATGGCTGTACTATTTCAGCTCTTTCATCTCATTATCCCTCTGCAGCAAGCGGGCCTTGCATAACTTTGAAGCTTGTTTGGCATCATAACGTGTGTGTGTGTGTGTGTGTGTGTGTGTGTGTGTGTGTGTGTGTGTGTGTGTGTGTGTGTGTGTGTGTGTGTGTGTGTGTGTGTGTGTGTGTGTGTGCGCGTGCCTGGCTCAATGTGAAATGTATGATATGCGGCTCAGAGGAAGGCGAGCGTGAGGCACAAATGGGGAAATGGAGGTCGATTAGAGGGAGAGAGATGGTCGGTGTCACACAGGTGACACCGAGGAATATGTCCTACATTGTCTGCAGAACTGTTCAAATGTTGCCCGTCAGTGAAGTAAATCTGTTCACATGCAGCAATAATCATTATCATGGTCACAGGCTTTTTACCAAATGACTAACATAGTGGTGCAATGTTTCCTCAGATGGTGGGTCTATATTGTTTGCCATTGTCTGATCTGTACTTCATCATCGACGTGTTTCTGTTAAATCTCAAAATTGGCTTTAAATAATGGGATATTATTTGGAGGCTATACATTCATCAAAATGGAGACTTCTGTACGTTTTACTGAAGCATACGTTGTTTAGAATAATAGCATCACACGTCTGCATGGTGTGTTCAGGCCTCATCCTGTTGGGTTCATTATTTCTGTTCTGTCTCTCCCTGTGCAGGTCGTCTGGGATTCCCTCATCCAGGAGGAGACAACCCTTTACCCCTCAATGGTATGTATGGCAACATACTCCGGTTCCAGGGGACCACCAGGGATTCAAATATAAATCATAAGGATTTAGTGTGAAAAATGTCTCCAATATCTTTTAAAACACATTTGATGAAATGTCATTTTACAAGAGATTATCACGTTTGAATCAAGCTCTCGTTAATCATCATTAATCTGACAATATGCACCCACCCGGCAGGTTAAATACAAAGTAAAGAAGTGACCTAGTCACCTAGTTATGAACTTCTGTCGGGTCCTTTCCTTTGACTGTTGGTACTGCTTTGTCACTCGGATACATAGATGGACAAAGAGGGGCATAATTCCCTCTCTAATATCTATTTTATATTGCTGTGAAAACAATTCCTTCTACATTTGAACGTATGATAATGTTATAATATAACTTGGCTCTATACAAATTGATCTGAACCACCGTATGTTGGCTGTTAGCACCGTCACTAGCTCTCCTCCTGCTGATTTCAACACGCATTTGTTGTTCGCAGTGTAGCGTTATCAGGGATCGGGACTAGAGAGCATCACTGCTTATCTATTGATCGCATATTCTTACTGAATATCAGTCGATAACGATGTGCAGTAAAACCCTATGATGGTTCAACTGTGTAATTAATCCGCGGTTCACGTGTGTGCAGAACCATGAGAGGGGTTACGCACAGATCAACGTTCAACTGCGGTCCGTTTCACAACTGTTGCCTATTGTGCATTGTTTGGTTTTGGCTCTATACTGTTGTCAACATGGAAGCCGGCTCACAATCATTCACATTCTGAAGCTAAATGATGCAAATGAAATGTGTTTCTGCAAACATTTGAGGCGAGAAATAGGCAATGCAGTAACAGAATCCAGTTTGACAATTTGATCGGATCTCACTAACTTCATGAGCAGCGATTGATTTTATGTTCTACCTTACCGGATGCAAACTAGCGCCGTTACCCCTGATTTTAGGAGATAAAAATAAGAACAAACACTCTTAATTATTTTTCCTTCATCCCTGTGTTTCTGAAAGATGCAATGAGGAGAAAAAGTTCATTTGATTTCCAGATATGGTCCAGAAGTAAAGAATGCCTTTAAACTGTATATAAATAACTCTTTACCTCTTTCGAATGGTTGAATAAAATCTGGAAAATCCCTTTGACGTTTCCACAACGGCAGTTTAATTTTTAGTTACCTCTCCTTTGCACTCTCATTCCATTCATTATTATGTAATTGTGTTGTTGTAGCTTTCGCCTTCTGGTCTTGGGCCAGAATGTAAAACACGAGAGGCCAGTCGTTCCTCCACAAGATCGCTGGGTCACATGGTGAGGTCACATGGTCAGGAGCTGTCATCAAGCTCTGAGACAGATGGTGCCAGCGGATAGGCAGGCAGGCTGCACACCAGCTCTCTCTGTCTGTCTGTCTGTGTGTGTGTGTGTGTGTGTGTGTGTGTGTGTGTGTGTGTGTGTGTGTGTCATAAGCATACACAGATTGCGTTCCTCATTCTCTTGATTCTCTCTCGCTCACTCATTTTCTCTCACCCCCACCACACTGTGTATTATCAGCTCGTTTCTCTGTCTCTTCCAATCTATTTATCTCTCTCTCACACAAATGTACACACACACACAAACATGCACCTTTTTATAGCACACTCTACTCTTCTCTTTCAATCTGCTCTTCTGTTTCTCTCTTTCTAGCTCTCTTTGACCCCCCCCCCCCAGAGTTAATGTCCATCTGGGTTGGAAAGTCCACTGAGGGATTATTGCTTGTGTGCTCTGGCCGCTCCTTCATCCTCTCCATGTCCTTACACTTTTAGACGGGTCGATGCTTCAATCTCTCCAGCGTCGCTAAAGAAACATTGTGTTCCTGTGAGCGTATTAAAGCCAATGAGTAAAAAGAGCATCTTCTTGACTACACGTTTGAAAGTGAACTGCATTGTGGGCGGATGGACCTGTAAAATCAGCCGAAGCCAGTTTTACCTTTTGTTATATTTATATCTTGCCATGGTCGCATAAGTTCAACCATTATCAGCTGGGGCGACGGAGGCAGATAGCCACGCACGCACATAGCATCGGTGCCTTCCTGGGCTGCTACTGTGTTTGAATCAATGAAGGTTGCGACAGTAACCGATTGTTGATGCATTTTGCTTAAATGTCTGAAGCGTGACTGTAGGAGGGCAAATCGCATATTGTGAAATGGCTGAAACACTTGATGGTAACTAACCCATAGTTGGCCACACTAGTGCTTCCTCTGTACTCGTTTCAGCAACAGCCTCTATGTAGTGGAGATGATAGGCGTTGTCCTGTGTTGTATCGTTTACTTTCACCTGCACAGGAACTACAGATGGAAACTAGCTAAAAGCTAAATCTGGTAAAAACCCATATTCTCTTTTTGAGATCAATGTAATTTTGTATTTGTTTCCTGGTGAACTAAACTCTCTTACTTTATTATCACTGTCCCTTATTACTACCTATGGTGTGCCTCAAGGTTCAGTCCTTGGGCAAGTTCTTCTTTCCCTTCAATTATTCTTGGTCATGATTAGAAGGCAGGAAATCTCCCTCCACTGTTACGCAAGCCTCTGTTCTAATGTTGTAATCCTGGTCCCTGTATTTGCTTGTTTTGTGTTACTTTTCCTTTGTTATAGGACTTATATAATCTTTGTTACTGTTGTCCTGATCTTTCCTTTGTCTTCTTTGGATTGTATTTGTTATCTCATTGATGATGAGGAAACTTTAGTTTGAAAGAACTGCATAAAAAGCCAAGTGTCCACATGTCCATTCTGTGTCAGTATACACTGAGAGAACATCATGGTGTTGACATGGTCAAGCTGCTCTCAGTACCTTTCTTCCCTGAAGTGTTTGTCTACAGACCTTCACAAGTTCCACTTGTACTTTAACTTTATAGTCTAGTGTCAATGAAGTGGCATGGTGACGGTTCCACAGGCTGATAGTCATTCACAGCAGGCAGACAATGGAAGCATCTGGCACTTTATTGGTACAGTGTATTATGCATCTTTTATAATCACCCTCTTCTTTGATTTGTCCTTATTCCACATGCAGCCAGGAATTATAGCAGGAGACGAGGTAAAATATATTCATGGGTGTGTTATGTCCGGCATAAATCAGCTCTCTAGGTCACAATATATTGACTGAAGCTGCCGTTATGATTTTATTGGTCGTAGGGCGTTGGTGGTTAGATGTGTTTTTTTTGAATGACTGCGCTTTGTATCAGTGCGGTGAAGTGACACGTGTGTCTGCATGGTTGTTGTACGTGTCGAACGCTCTCATAAGCTTGTGAAATGATCTTATGCATCTTTCATCGTTTAGTTTGCGTTTCTCTCATTACGCTCGACTCTGCTTGCTTTTCTTTTTTCTTTTTTTTTTTACTCGTTTTCTCACACATTTTGCAATATTGTTAAGTCGGACAATAGTTGTTGTTGTCCCATTTAGCTGGAAGGTAATGAAGCAGAGAGACACAGAAATTGTAATATGTGATTTACACACTGCAGCAGAAGCAAATACGCATGGCAGGACACGCACACATCCTCACTCAAACACACACACGCACATATCCTCACTCACACACACATACTTTAAGCTGAGACTAACTCTGTTGTATAAAGCAGCTCAGCTCAGGTTGTATAGGAGCAGGAATAGGCCGGTGAGGACTTGGTCTCTACAACACATACCCGAACACTGTGAAACTATGTAGACTGGCTCACTGAGGAAGCTACTGTTTGTTACAGAGAAGGTGCATGCACGTTCACTCCTTCATATACATATTGACTAATTACGTGACATTTCTGCTCATTTCTTACTTTTTGTTTATTGTTCCGCCCAGTTATCTCCATGCCTCCAACATCTCACTCTCGCCAGAGGGTGTAAAAGGCCCCCAGTGCCCAATGAAAGTGAAACATATGTCATAATCCATCCATATAAATGTGTGCATGCTATTAACTTACCTAAAGTATGTGGTAACTGATGTTGGATCAAGACTATAATACATATTTAGCTTCTTGGCCTTCCACCCAGCACCAGGTGGATTATTCACTGCAGTAAAAAGTGAATGAAAGGTTTCATGTACAGTTCTCATGACTGCCCTAATGTAACCATGAAAACATCGACGCTTCCTGAACCTTTACACCTCCTCTTCCTCTTCCTCTCTCCCTCTCTCTCAGGCCACTCCTCTCTCTTCCCGATGGAGGATGGTTTCCCTGATGACGAGCGTGGTGATCAGGGCCTTGCAGGCCTGGGCTCTCCACACTGCTTTCCTCACCAGAACGGAGAGCGCGTCGAACGTTACTCACGCAAGGTCTTTGTGGGAGGACTGCCCCCAGACATCGATGAAGGTAGAGTAGTTGCTTTAAGATCAAAGGGATTTCATATTTTGGTTATGATTGAAACTTAAGAGATGGGGAACTTGAGGCCAAATTATACCACAAGACATCATTGGAAAGTTACACCTGCAACACAAGCATCTTACTGTCCATTAAGGATACTGTCTGATGCAGCACTTTTACTGTAAATCTTCAGCTTTTTCTTTATTTAATTTTTGAGCTGCCAACAAGTCATGCATTCTGTCTGCTTGATTTCAGATGAGATAACCGCCAGTTTCCGGCGTTTTGGACACCTGTTTGTGGACTGGCCTCACAAAGCGGAGAGCAAATCCTATTTTCCACCCAAAGGTTTGTTAAATTATTCGTTCCGTGCCGTTTTTTTTCTCACAATAGTTTCATGTTTTGTGAGAGTAATGTGTCAGGACTACTTCCTGAACCAATGTATTACTACAAGAGATATGTTTCAGGTATTGCTTCAGTGTCTGTGTGAGAAAAATGCAGATATGTATCTGTGTACTACCACTATTTATGTGTGTGCAGTCTGCTTTTGTCTTCAGGCTATTGTCTGAAGCGTTTTGTAACCATGTGTGGACTGTTTGTCTGTTTCTCTGTTTGTTCGCAGAAGCTTATGCCTTCGTGCTATGAATGCAGAATGTTGTGTTCACAGTAACGGTTGCGCTAAATTTCCAGCGTGACTCTTTGTCGGTACAGCTTGTCCCCAGCAGCCTGAATAACGCTGCTGTATTTTGTGCAGGCTACGCCTTCCTGCTGTTCCAGGATGAGAGCTCAGTGCAGGCTTTGATTGATGCCTGCATCGAAGAGGACGGCAAGCTGTACCTCTGTGTGTCCAGCCCCACCATCAAAGACAAGCCGGTCAGTAGGAACACACACACACACCTGCTCAAATGTTATGTCGTTTCCACTGAACTCAGTAAAAACTTGCGGTTACGACCAGCTTGTTCTAAACGAGTGCTGAAACCTGTTGGCTTTGGGTGTGACAGGTCCAGATCCGCCCGTGGAACCTGAACGACAGCGACTTCGTGATGGATGGCTCTCAGCCCCTGGACCCGAGGAAAACCATCTTTGTGGGAGGAGTCCCTCGTCCGCTCCGTGCAGGTATCCTTCCGTTTTATAAGTCTTTCCACGAGGTGAATCAACAACGAATCAGCGTTTATGATAACAGCTTGTGTTTATAGTAAACATTGGACCTGCTAAGAGGGTCGCGCTAAGAGAGTCACTGTGCGCTGAGATCAGCTTTGGCCTACACTGGTCCTGTCAGGAAGTACGCTCTGTGGCACACTGTGATGTGAAGAATATGAAATCTCTTTTTATCCTGATGGCAATGTTACGTCCCTGTGGTGCATCAAATGTTCTATGACCCTGTGTAATTCTGGGTCTCAATTTGCACGTGTAAAATATACACATTACAAATAAAACTGCCATTTCAATGTTTTAACAAGTAAAGCTGCCTTATTTGTCCCATTGAATTCTGCTGAATTTAAATCCATCTGTGTCGCTTTAAACTCTCAGATCAACAACCTTCATCAACATGTTGTGTTTGTGTTCATTGGCTACATTGAACATGAGTTCATGTTTAAAGCCTGTGTGTGTGTGTGCGCCAGATTGTTTATTTTATTCATGTCTTTTGCTTCTGTGCGTCACACTTGTTTTTGGGAATATCTTTGTTCAACGTGTCTGTTTTTTTCCTCCCTTCGCAGTGGAGCTGGCCATGATCATGGACCGTCTGTACGGTGGGGTTTGCTACGCCGGCATCGACACTGACCCCGAGCTGAAGTACCCCAAGGGAGCAGGGCGGGTCGCCTTCTCTAATCAGCAGAGCTACATTGCTGCTATCAGTGCTCGCTTTGTACAGCTGCAGCATGGAGAAATCGATAAACGGGTGAGTGGAAAGAAAAGAGAGCTTAGTGTTTTTTGGTCTCTCCTCTCCAGCCCCCTTCGTTCTTCATTTGTCTCCCCCACATCTCACTTCCTGTTCCCGTTCCTTTTCTGAGTTGTGTTAGAAGAGAGTGTCTCACTAGAGCTTGAAAGAAATGCAGCACCGTCTACATAATGCGTTTGCTTATTAGTGGAGCACGTGTGGTGGGGAAGTATGTTTTGCATAATAGTTGATTCACTTTAGAAGATCAGTGCAAGTAGCAATACTTGTCATGGCTCCAAGAAGAGAATTCTCTCACTAATCCAAATTGAATTCAACCAAAATGTCTGCCATGGAGTAAGAGCACACGACAGTATAACAAACGGCTGCTGTTAGGTTTAGATGAAATCCAACACAATGTCTCTCCCCTTTGATTTAGAGTGACCATCAGTCACACGGGGACGTACATCACCGCTGTGCATGGAGGCTTCATACACATAATGAAAATATCTGTGCATGTGATTAACTCCTGATAATAATCTAAACAACTCTTCAAGACCCCGTGACATAACACTCGTATTTTTGTTCACCTCGTAGCCTGAAATCTCACCACATTCTCAGTGTGGATAGATTGGTCTGGACTTGTGAGGTTTGCCGATATATCGTCCGCATTAAAACATAAAGTATGAATGCAGTCACCAAATATTCCCTGAATGGGCAGCGGCTCAAAGTCAGCGGCGAATAATAGACTATGTAGTACTCTTTGGTGAATCAGTCGTGGCCTGGTGATTCTCCTGAGGCAAATAGGTTCCGGCTCTCATCATGTCCTCTTCTGTAATACTGCCCTCTAGTGTCTCCTTGTTATAATCTGATGCAGGGTTCAACCCTTGAAATGTGTGAAAGCATTGATTGTAGCTCAAGAAAGTATAAACTGATGATTAAAAAGTAGAGATATCTTTTAACTGCTGCTTCTACCGAGTCATTTCACTTTCAAGGTTGCATGATGAATAATCAAATAAATGACAGTTATTAACTCCTTTCTCTCTACAGCACAGGGTCGGTTTGATGAGCAGCCATGCTTATTTACAGCAATGCCTTGTTAACAGTTTCAGAGAGAAGTAAAACAGGAAGAGGACATTATTTTATGACGCCACTGCAGCAACATTAAACGTTGATCACTTGCTGGTTTGATATGAAATACTGGAATAATGTTATGCTGCTTTCTAATTTGCATAATGCTGTTCACAAGATCTTAATACTGAAGCTAAATAAACAGTTTGATTGGAAATCTAAATGCTTTTCTGAATAATAATACCGGTAGTATTACTTGTTACATTTTCCAAACAAACAATAAGTTTTCACAATTTCCATTTGTTTCATTTCCCGCAAGTTTGCTGTAAAACATCTGGCATACAGATGGAGAAACACCATCACTGAATGCCAAATTATTCCCGCCTCTGATTGCAGGTGGAAGTGAAGCCATACGTGCTGGATGACCAGCTGTGCGATGAGTGCCAGGGAACTCGCTGCGGCGGGAAGTTTGCGCCGTTCTTCTGCGCCAACGTCACCTGCCTGCAGTACTACTGCGAGTACTGCTGGGCGGCCATCCACTCGCGCGCCGGCCGAGAGTTTCACAAACCCCTGGTGAAGGAAGGAGGCGACCGGCCCCGTCACATCTCCTTCCGCTGGAACTGAGCAGACGACGAGAGAGGGGAGAGGCAACAGGGGAGCAGGAGGGCAGGTAGTGCAGGAGTCGCAAATCATTGTACAAATAAATGCACTTTTCTGTTGCTGGTTCCTTTTCGTTCCAATTTCACTGAACCTTTTTTCCTAATTTTTTTTTTTTTTAAGTTAATATATATCTATATTTTGAAGATAGAAAAGAAAAACTGGAATTATATCCAAATATTGTCCAGCAAAGGAAAAAAGATGTGTAACATAATTTTATTTATGCGTTTGATTTTTTTTTTTAAAAATATTTTATTAGTTCTCAAAAAAAACACACATATATAGGAACGTTTGAGGTTTGATATGGTACTCTGCTGTGCAATTGGCCTTTTTTTTCTAAACAATGTATTTTAATTTTGATACAAGACGCCCCAAAACGATACACTTCATTTGACATTTGATTGACTTGATTTGTAGCAGAGCTGTTTATTGTGTACCGAGGTGTGATTAAGTTCTCTATTGGTACAAGAGGCTCCACAACAAATGTGACTTGAAAAAGGTGTTGCTAAAGAAGAGTGCACTTATTTCCAATTCTGAAGAGTGCAGAGACACGAGACCCTTCGTAGTTAATAACCAAAGCGGAATCTTGGATTAACTCTGAAGAACAGAGAGGGCCCACTGCAGATTCTTTTCCCTCCCATATCAACATGTTTGAACCTTTCTTTTTTTGATTTCCAACGTCATACACACATTTTGATGTTACTTGAAAAATCGCAAACGAAATTTTAGCAACACATATTTGGGTTTTGATCTCCATTTTGACATGCAAAAACTAATACCTCAAACTCAGCTGCTAATGTGCCGAATACAGTTAACAAGAAAGGAAGAAAAAACATTATTACCTGCTTGTGTTCTCCTTTCCTTAGAACTATAATCAAAGGGAAGTGATGCAACAGGCAGAGCGTGATGTGACCGGCACCGTTTTCTACTCGCTTGCTTCATCACCTCCTTATTTTTATATTCAAACCCAGGGTTGTGCTAGGGGCAGAGCAGAGCATCGTACAGTGTATTAGGGGAATATACGGCTACAGGAGAGACGGACAGGCCTACCGGTAAAGAGATAAGTCCAGCCCCATCTCCCACCTCCTCCCCCC